ATTGCCTGGGGGCCCCACGAGTTGTCAGTCCGCCCCTGGTCTAAAATGAATATATTTCTGACATGTCATAATATAAAGGTTTTACATAAATAAAAGCTGACCATGTGTAAGCACCCCTGTCAGTGGTAAATGGTTTGTCCCATCGCTGTAACTGATAAATCTGCAGGAGAACTTGAATTACTGGCCAGATCACCAGGTGAAAATAAAGGAAAGAAAGCCTAAAAAAGAAAAGTAATGCAGCTAGCACATCTAAGAATTGGTTAGCTGAAAATGAATAAATGTTTGCTTTTGGGGTTTAATACTGCTTTTATCATAAAAAATGAGCTCCGGAGAAGTGTTTTTGACTTGGTTAAAATAGTGTCGTTATTCTGCTGCAGGGAGGAGGAAGCATTTTCTCACTCTCCTCTCCCCAGTGATCTGTGTAACTCTGTATCAAGTCACAAAGTGAGAGCATGCAGCAGGGGCTGATCAATGGGGATGAGCTCTGGTATCGGATTGACCGTAAGGCCCCTTTCACACGGGCAGACCAACTGGGTGAGACTCTTCATTTTTCTGCGGACCAAATCGGACCATCTATTGCCTTCTATGGAGCGGCAGATGTAATTATTTTTACCTTGTGATCCTGCCATGAACACTTTTTCTATCCTAGGGAGGCAACGCTGATTCACTGCACTGTATTTGTGGTGCAGCGTTGTCCCCCTAGGACAGACGGTGTGTTAGAACTACAAAACACCCCCTCTCTCCTTATCTCCATAATATGGGGTGGGAAGGGTGTTCTTTAGTTCACAGAACTAGACAGGGGATTGGGGATTTCAGTGCAACAGTGTCAGCTCATTACAGGACGTTAGGGAATCCTGTGGGGAAGGACTGATCATTCCATATGACCATGTCACCCAGAGAGATTTGGGCAATCTCTGGTGGGGAAGGGTATGAAGAACTGACTTTTTGGATGGGATATATATATATTATATAGATAACTAATTGTCTCCTGGCTGATTCGGTTTCATAGAATCTCAATTGACTATTATTATTACACAGGATTTATAGATCGCCAACAGTTATTACACAGGATTTATAGTTTGCACAGTGCTTCACAACATGAGAGCAGTTACCATACTATTCAATACAGCAGGAATCAGAGCTGGATGATTGGAAAGTCACTGCCATGCAGACCCTGGGTTCTATTAGACCAGTTGAAATGATGGTGTGAAAGATGGAGTCTCTGTTGGAAGTGTACTAGTCCTCTAGTGCTTTTATGTCCCCTACAGTCCACCCTAGGTGGTCCGGGATATCCACATAGAGCTCACTGTTGTCTGGCAGGTAAACAGGTAGTTTTCTGTACTTAGGGTTTTAAATAGACAAAACATATTGGAGAGATGTACTGAATATGTTTTATTTGAATTTTCCAGTATACATATTTTATTTATTTCAGGTACTTATATAGTGCTGTCAATTTACACAGCACTTTACATACATATATTATACATTCACATCAGTCCCTAACCCTCAAGGGGCGTACAGTCTAAGATCCCTAACTTACATTCATACATATACAAGGGCCAATTTAGATAGGAGCCAATTAACCTACCAGCATGTCTTTGGAGTGTGGGAAGAAACCAGGGTACACAGAGGAAACCCACACAAACCCAGGGAGAACATGAAAACTGCAGCCAGGTGGTGCCCTGGTTGGGATTTGAACCAGTGATCATAGTACTGCCAGACGGAAGGGCTAACCATTAAGCCACTGTGCTGCCACTTTAAACATATCCCTTTTCTTTTTCCCCTCTTTTTTCTTCATCACTATAGAGGATGTGCATTTCAGTGCATTTTTGTATGTGTTTTGCTGTGTTCCAGATGCATTCCATACAGAAAAAAATGCAATATGTTCTAATTTTGTTGACTGAACTGGAATACACTGCATTGGTGTGAACTAGGGCCATTGGACTCTTTGTTACACGCTGTCCATGCATTTTTAATGTAGAATAAAAATTCACTGGCCTGCATATGGTGTGAACCAACCCCCATACTCAAAACTTGTATTATTCATTAATGTTTCCTATTCCCATGGTTCAAAGTTTAAGACTACTTGGAAGTAGCCACCATGGTTCCTTTACCTAATTTTTGTAAATATTTTTCATATACATTTACCAATTTTTGTTTGTCAAATTAAGCTATTATAAGGCATCACAATGAAGAGGAATGGATCATGGATACTCTAAAGTGCCGTCACATTCCCAAATTACTCCACTCAAAGTACTTAGGCTGAAAGCACTTTTGTCTTCACATTGCAATATCGGAAGCTTCTTCTCCAGAGGGGATTAGGGATAATGAATTCAATTTTATCAAGAAATGCCTTTTCTAAGAAAACCATTATATACAAGGACAAGAAATAATGTTTTAATCCTAAAATTATAAAAGCATTATGCACTCTGAAAACAAAAAAGGCATAGAAATGCATTAACCTTTTATTCTTGTGGATGTACAGGATTCTCAATAAGAAATAAATGACCACCCAGTCTCAGTCATTTAGGGACATTTTAACAATAAAACTGAAAGACAAAACAAAGAAAATCCATGCACTGTACCCACGACATCAATTATTTGTCCAAACACTGGCTTAGCAATGAACTAGCTATTAACCCTATCCTTTCCTAGAGTTTTCCCACCACAATTTTATGGAAGGAGAATAATCTGGCCAAAAATGGATTAAAATTCATCTTGTTTAGCAGGGGCTGGCCGAATTTCAATCCACCTACAGCCATTTCTGTTCGAGAGGAGTCAACCTAGTGATCAACTCCTCTCAAATGGGAATGTTGGAAAATTGTTTTAAATCAGCACTGTAGCCAGCAATCTGCAGCGCTGATCATGATATTCTGAGAGCAGAGGAGTCCCCGCTGTCGGAATACAATGACACAGCAGGAGGATTCCTTCTTCTACCACTTTACCGCTATCCCACCTTTATTTTCTAGCTTATATTGTTGTGTACTGTTCTGTCTCACTTATATATACTGTATATTTCTGTTGTTGTATTGAACTGTATCATGTTAGGCAGGCTGTAGGCAACTGCCTACAAGGGAAATGTACTATGTTAGTGAGTAAACTAGTCAGTCTGCCCAGGTTAGGGAAGGGTTAATGCAGTTAACCCTCTGTGCTGTAAATGAAAGGCAGAAGGGCTCTGCATACAGAAAGCAGCTGTATGGGAAGAAGACACAGACAAGCCTAAAGATGTAATCTCCAGCTATTTCACAGAAGGGTGACTTTTTCCCACTCTTGGTTCGAACCGTGAAAGGGACTGCTGCAATGGATAGCCAGCAATGGAGACTACCTGCATAGCCTATCACCTCACAGAGGTATGCCTGGGCAGCCACACAACTGTAATTAGGGTTAGGAAAAGGACTTGTTCATATTGAACTATAGTGTTGAAGTCTCTTCAGTAAAGTTACATTAACTGTTCTAAGCCTGGTCTTCTGTTATTCAAAGGGGTGCATGCTGGTTCTGGTGTTTCTAAAGAACCAGGGTCTGTACAGCACAAAAAGAGGTATGAAGTCACAATACATTAAGAAGGAGTTTACCCAACAAGCCAAGGAAGAGTAAGTCCGTTGCTATGAGTAACCAAACAGTAACCAAAAGTCATGAAGCAACCAGTCAAGGCATGGTACCTGGTAAGGTGGCAGGTCCTCCGGTAGCGAGAGGGTTGCTGTTTGGCTCCCTCCTGAGCAGTCCATCACCCATAGCATCCGGGAGCAGACCAGCTTTACAGAGATCCATGACCTGGCCGCAAGATACGGAAAGTGAAGGAATTAACAGTGAGCACACATGATGTCCACACTATGTGCTCGGTGGGACCCCATTCTGTTACTGGGAGCGAGGTAACAGAGGTATGCTAGACTGATGGAGTAGGTGCAGGCTCAGCCTTCTTCTCTTAATGCAACAACTACTGAAGGCACAGTGTGTATGGCATGGAACAACACGTTTCGGAGGAACTCTGTAGTTTTACTGCACACAGTGTAAGCTCATCTCTAAGTCTGGGAAATGCCTTAATGTTAGACTTTTTACATGACCGCAGTCTCCGCCTGGTCCTGGGCATTGATGAGCATGCTCCACACAAAAAAGTACCCCCATGTGCATGGCAGAGATTACCTTGCCCACGCGCAGACACCATTGATAATTTAAATCCACTACAACTTGTTTTCTTATGTGATTTGGTATCTCCTCCTGTCCTCAACTCCGGTTTAGAGCTGATTAGTTCAGTCCTAACAAGGCCCTCCCTATTTATTCCATGTTTCCTCAGGCAACATGTCTATTTTCAGAGACTGGACTTAGGAAAGTCATTGTTTTCATACACTTCAAAAGACTGGAAAAACATCCTCTACTGCACGTATCTGAAGTAAAACTGTGTTGGATTCAACATCTGCATCTTATTGAAGAGTTAGGCTGTCTGTGGATGGTGCCAAGTTGGCAGGTGACCATACTGTTCAGACAGATTGGGTCACGTAAAACATTTAATAGCAAAACTAACAAAACCATTTTTATATGCCAAATTTAGCGTCAATCCAGAGATTGCCTCTGCAGTACTCTTTTTCTGCCACTAGATGTTCTCAGTCTAATAGCCAGCATTATTCAAGCCACTTCCTGTGAGCTCAAATCATTCTGGATCCATCATAGTGAATGGACAGTGAAAGGAGAAACAGCACAGATGAGCTCATCTGTCTGTCACTCTTTTCTCTTCAATATCAGGATGCTTCTTGTCAGCATGTGAACTGTTTGGCTGCTTATGCTGCATCTTCCTCTCACACTCCAGCCCTCCTGTGAAGGGACATAAACTTGCATGCATTATAAAATACTTTCAGTGATGTATTAATGCTTACAGAGCTACAGCTAGAGTTTTTTTTCTTTTTTGTTTTATATGTGCCTAGAGTTCAATTCTGAGTATACATAGCTCAGTTCTCCAACTTCTGTGGTATCTCATATCTCTACTCCAATGTTTCTCAACCTTTTTTCAGTCAAAGCACCCTTTAAAATTATGGACAGTCCTGAGGCACCCTTTAAAATTATGGACAGTCCCGAGGCACCCTTTAAAATAATGGACAGTTTTGAGGCACCCTATTCTAAAATGTGAAAAACAATTCTAATAGTTTTGTATAACTCAGCAACATCCACACATGTAGGATGCCCAACGGTAGAGGTGATTTATTCTTCCAAAACAAATACGGTTTTGCACACAGGTACTGACTAGTATTCCAGTGTTTCTCTTCTCCCTCAGTTTTTCTCCATAACTGAGCTAATGTGACCCCAGAACTGATGGAAATGGGCAGGGGAGGGTCAAACTAGGGTGCTGTGCAGGCAGCTGACATCCTCCTTGTCAACTGATGATGTCATTGGTTGTCAAGACACGAGCAGCTAGAAGGTTGTAATGGTGCACAATGAAAACATGTGGCTTTTTGTAACTAAAAGGCAGGCTTGTTCCACCCGCTGGCTTGTATACAAGTTTTGGGCAATTTTTTTTTAGACTTTTGCCACCCCTGAAGAAACCTCAAGGCACCCCAGGGTGCCTGGGTACCCTGGTTGAGAAAGGTTGACAAAGTAGAGTCTACTCTAGGTACATACATACTTTCAGATGAATGGCCCTCTGGCAGCTATAGTATAACTGGAGTCCCAGTCTGCACCTTGGTGTATGGGCAGATGATCTCCCCACTATTTTCTATTGTGTTTCTACATGCGCATGCACTGGCAGACTTCTATTTTTTAGGTTATTCGAGATGGTAAATTTATCTACAAATTCATACAAATAAGGTGGATTAGCCAATAAGATTCTGTGCAGGTAAATCTCAAAATTCTGTTTCTTCTAAATATGTGTTTTGACAGTTTGCCCAGTTTACAGGTAACTGAACAGCTCTCTGCAGATCAGACGCAGATGGCACTGGTAGAAGAGTTGTAATTTCCCCAGAAAGTGTTTGTTCCTGCCAAGCTACCCACCTCTCAGAAAACAGCAAAATCAGTTTGTTCCTTTCTACTCCTTAGTGTCCACCCAGTGTTTTTCACTTCTAGGTGGACTTAGCCTTTAAAATGTATTATGTAACAGAAGGTGATCAGGAAATGCATGTGTCTATCAAAATAATTAAAATGAAACAGGCATTTTTTTATCAGGTTAAAGCACAGTGGAGCCTGGAGGTGAGCGGAACCTCAGTGGAAGTATAAGAAGATGCTGAGAGCAGCTATAAATTATGAATTCCATCTAGGCACCGGGCTTTGTATCTAAGTAAATATGCAGAAAAACAGTAGGCTGCGAACACTGGCGAGAGATTAAATCTTTCCCGACAGATGCTACTCATCACATATTCAACATATAATTTATCGTACAGCTCATAAATTGTGCTCTCGTTTTTAAAATTGTCACTTTCCAATACTTACACAGCAGGATGCTGACATTACACAGATCATTATGTGTGCTTTCTCCCAGTCCATTTATAGATTTGGGAGATAAACAAATAAAACATACAGCAGACAGGGAAAATGACAATATTTTGTGTACAATATGTGTAGTTGTCATATGTTACTGACACAGCGGAAGCAAAATTTGGTTTACCGCATCAGCTTTTACTGGCAGATCATTCCAATTTTCTAATCTTTCTGTGAATATTTTGTATTATAGTATGCATTTTTGTATATGGTAATTCTTTAATCTCTTGTGTTCCGCTTGTTTTACATTTTCAGCATGGACATCATAAGCGGAGGTCTAGGATGCCAGGAGCTGCACACAATTACCCACGCATCATGTTACTGGATTTCAATAACACATTTCTTTGTGTGATAAAAGGGTCCACACTGTTGTTATTACTATTTTGCGATATGAATTGGTCTTCAATAGTGTTGTCCATGACATGTGTATACGCAGGTGTCAGGAATGGACTTGCCAATAATGGTGGGACTCACTTGCCTTGTGGGCTGCAGTACCAGGGCTGGCCAGCGGGTGCTCTCAGCAATCAGAGACTCAACCCTGCAGTCAGCCAAACACCTGAAGCTGATTACGGAGCTGTATTTAAGGGATGGCCAGAGCTGCAGTCTGGGCCTTGGTGTGTGTTTTTTCATGGGCCCCTGTATCTTGTTACCTGCATTCCTGTTCCTGTTCCTGTTCCTGCCTGACTGACTTGTTGCCGACCCAGCCTGATCCTGACCTCTGCTGACTTCTCCTGTTTGATCCTTGGCTTGTGACCCTGACCATTCTCTGCCTGACCCCATGTACCTACCTGCCCGTTAGTTGCTGTACCTGGCTCGTGACCTGACTACCATCTGTCAGAGATAGTACTAGCGGTAGGGACAGGTTCCGGAGGAGTAGGGACTGCTCTGGGCTTACGTCTACACTTTAGAAAGCACCCTTTTGGGTTGGACCAGGCCACATTCCACCCACCGTACGCAAATGCAGTCTTCAGTCAGGACCTTCTACCGCTACATTGACTGCAAGTCCCTGGTCAGATGAGCTCCCCGCTGGGTTGCTGTACTGTTTGCAAGCTCTTCAATACATTGATTATTATACTCTGTGCCTTTGAGTGTTTACTACCTCTACTCCTTGCTGCACCTATCCCATATGTAAATTATTATTATTATTATACAGGATTTATATAGCGCCAACAGTTTGCTCAGCGCTTTACAAAATAAAGGGAGACAATACAGCAACAAAACAGTTTAATAGAAGAGGGTTAGGAGGGTCCTGCTCCTTGGAGCTTACAATCTAAGAGGAAGGGGCTGGTGGTACAAAACTGTGGGGGATGGACTGGTAGAAGGAATAGAAGATTCCATTATTAGCTGATGGCAGGATAGGTTTCCCTGAAGAGAGAGATTTTCGAAGATCGCCTAAAAGTGGGCAGAGTAGGTGATAGTCTGATAGATTGGGATAGAGAGTTCCAGAGGATGGGGGAGACTCTGGAGAAGTCCTGGAGATGAGCATGGGAGGAGGAGAGAAGAGAGCTAGAGAGCAGTTGGTCATGGGAGGAGCGGAGAGGACGGTTTGGGTGATATTTGGAGACAACATTGGTGATGTAATTTGGGGCAGAGTTATAAATGTCACAAGTGTAATAAAAGCGCCACACCCTTAATACTTTAAAGCAGCAATTCCACCTCAAAGAAACCAAATAAATTTCTTAGTGCTATAACTTAAATAAAGGAATGTGCTAAAACCACAAACTATTCCTAATTTAGTGTAGAAACATTAGTGCAAAAGATATATATATCTATTCTCAATTAATATCAAAAAATATCAAAATTATGTGCAAAACTATTTTTTAGTGCATAAGTAATTTAAATAATTAAATCAGTGAATATAAAAATTGTCCAATTTTGAATTTCTTCAAATGTCCAAACAAATCCTTTTCAAATTCAAGTGCTCTCAAAGAAATTGTGCCAAAATCCACCACCAAAGTAAAGTTGGGTAACTCACCAGAGCTCCATGCTGATCAATCTCTAGATCAGCAGAAAACACTTTTTGCTCTGGGAGCAGATGCAACAAATCAACTTCTCAGGTGTGATGATCAATAGCTACACAATAATCCATAAGGTAGGTATCCACCACTCAATATAACGGTTCCAGGAGCATTATATCACTCTCTCTCTTTTTATATCTCTCCACCGAGGTCATATTTGGGAATGAAAGAAAAAATCATGGTGCAGCCAGTTTTTTTATAAAAGTATCCAACAATTTAATAAAGATTTACACTCACAAAAAGGGTGTCTTCACCGACACCAGTATAACAGCATAAAACAGCAAATGGTATAACAGTCTCCTGATCCCCGCACACTCACTACAGCGCTCGTGACTCAATCCTCTCCACAGACGTCGGCATCCAGCAAACCAAGCCCATTTTGTGAGTGTAAATCTTTATTAAATTGTTGGATACTTTTATAAAAAAAACTGGCTGCACCATGATTTTCTCTTTTATTCCCAAACATGACCTCGGTGGAGAGATATAAAAAGAGAGAGTGATATAATGCTACTGGAACCGTTATATTGAGTGGTGGATAACTACCTTATGGATGATTGTGTAGCTATTGATCATCACACCTGAGAAGTTGATTTATTGCATCTGCTCCCAGAGCAAAAAGCGTTTTTTTTTTGCTGATATAGAGATTGATCAGCATGGAGCTCTGGTGAGTTACCCAACTTTACTTTGGTGGTGGATTTTGGCACAATTTCTTTGAGAGCACTTGAATTTGAAAAGGATTTGTTTGGACATTTGAAGAAATTCAAAATTGGACAATTTTTATATTCACTGATTTAATTATTTAAATTACTTATGCACTAAAAAATAGTTTTGCACACAATTTTGATATTTTTTGATATTAATTGAGAATAGATATATATATATATCTTTTGCACTAATGTTTCTACACTAAATTAGGAATAGTTTGTGGTTTTAGCACATTCCTTTATTTAAGAGTTATAAATGGCTTTATATGTTATTGTTAATGTTTTGAATTTTATTAATTGGGCAATGGGAAGCCAGTGGAGGGATTGGCAGATATGGAACGGTTAGTAAGGTCAATGAGTCTGGCAGCAGCATTCATGATAAATTGAAGAGGGGATAGCCTGTGATTAGGTAGGCCAATAAGGAGGGAGTTACAATAGTCAAGGTGAGATATAACCAGGGATTGAATAAGTTGCTTAGTGGTTTCCGAGGATAGGAACAGGCATATCTTGGAGATGTTGTGGAGGTGAAATCTACAAGATTTGGGGCTGAAAGTGATTGGATTTGGGGCTGAAAGGACAGATGGGAGTCCAGTTTTACACCTAGTACCCTGGCATGAGGAGAGAGACTGATGGTTGTATTATTGATATGTAAATATATTTGTTGGAATAGGTTTTATTTGGTATTTGTTTTCAAAGAAAGTATGGTTACCTTTAAAGACATCTAAGCCCAATTACCCTGTAGTATACTGCAGCTTACCAGTTCTTATTTGTGGTCTTGCATTCATTTTAACTTTTCAGTCTAAGAACATTTTCAACAAGTAAAGAAAATGCCTGTTGAACAGAAATGCCTGTTCCTCCTCTCCAATCTAAGCTCCGGAAGTGTGATCTCCTTTGATCCCCAGGGCTGTCTTAATGCATGGGCAGCTCTGGGCACTGCTTAGGGGCCTCAGGCACATAGGGGACCCATGATAATCTTGCATTACATCATACTCACCAACTGTCTTGGATTTTTCTGGACAGTTACTCTTTTTACTAAGCTGTCCCTGGATGGCCCAGGCAGCATCCCAGAACCTGTACTATGCTCTCCTGATCCCAGTATTGTGCCCTCCTCACTTCCCCTGTACTTTGCCTTTCTGCCTCCCTCCCCTTGTACTGTGCCATTTGTGTCAATTGGTCTTTGATTTATGGCATGTTTTCTTATAGTTTAAAATCGATTTTATTGAAAGTACCTAAAATTGCATATTTAATTTTATCAACTATTTGCACTTTATTTCTTGAGAGTAGGTGTGTAAATTGGGGCAGGCTGGTAGGGGCCTCAGGGGATTACTTTGCCCAGGGGCCCATGATGCTATTAAGATGGCCCTGCTGATCCCTTTTAGATAGCTATAATTTTAGGTCTCAAAAGAATTAGCAGACAATGACTCGATCCAATTTATCCAGTATCTTGCAGATCGTACAAAGCTTTAATACAAAACTTGTGCAGATCTTGACAGATGAACAGGTAGGTAAAAAAGTATAGTATACTGTATCTAGCTCCTGCAATTACATGTGCTCTGAACAGAAACTAAAGACACATTGAAAAGAGGGTGGGAATAGCTATACGCAGAATCTAATAACTATAGAATTGCCTCTCGGGGGATCAGGAAGGAATTTTTTTCCCTGTAAGAGCAAATTGGATCATGCTTTGCTGGGGTTTTTTTCCTTCCTCTGGATCAACTCTGGGTATACGATTATAACTTTTTTTTTTTTTTAATGATTGAACTGGATGGACTTTTGTCTTTATTCGGCCCGACTAACTGTGTAACTGTGTAACTATAGAATGAGGAAGGGACAGAATTATTATTAAAAAGAACACAAACAACAATGCACATGTAACGGGATAGTGTCCTTGTCACTTGCTGTGAGATGAAAAGAAAGCACTGTAGGAAAATAGCGGGTTTGATAAAACAAATAACATAAACATTAATACATAATATTAATACATAAATACATATTATTATAAATTCAACATTCACTTCCCACCATTAAATTGGGGACGGTTAGCAATGAAACACAAATCACTAACTGTAGGTGAAAAATGATTGTACGAAGAATTATACATGAACAGTCTAGTTGCTGGTAAGAAAGTATTACACAAAATGTAATGTTATTACAATGTCAGAAACAAACCAGAGAGGCAGAAAAATCACTGACAAAGATTAATGGCAACAATAACCAATACTATCAAATAATAAAATCCCTGCACCATGGAGGAAAAATGCCTATAGAACCAAAGACAACACATTCACACCATCATAAATTTGATAGATTACTAGCCAATAATCATAACAAATATTACCCAGGGGTTTCAACAATACAAGGTCTCTCTCTGAGGCTCCCCCTATGTCCCCCAGGTCTCCTTCTCCTATCTTCCCCAAAATGCCCCTCTCTCCCATTCTTATCCTAGTTACTTCCATTCACGATCATCGAGGAATCTCTAATTGGTTCACACCATACAATCATATCTTTCTCATGTAAGTGATTAGGTGGTATCTCAAGCCCTTTTTATCCAATAACTATTCAGTATTAATTACCATCTCTCCCTGGAGTTTGGAGACATTATGCTTCAGACTTGCTTTGAAGATCTCCATGTTTGTTAAACTTTATCTCCTGAAATCACACCTGGACCTTAGATCAATCAGCTGGTCAATTTAGCATACCAAAGCCAAGGGACAGAGGGTATACATCTCTTCTTTGAATAATTGTAATGTTGGCCATGCATGGATCAAAATGTTTCTGGTTCGGCAGGGAAAAGCCAAATTTCGATCTGTATATTGGCAGGCTGGTTGTACACGTGCCAGTCTAGTGAACAACTTGTGTACAACCA